GGTGATCCTACCCCTCTACTCTTGTGAGACACTGCTTACAGCACTGTGTGCAGTTCTGGTGTCCTCAACATAAGAAGGACATGGAGCTGTTGGAGCAAGTCCAGAGGAGGCCACAAGGATGATCAGGGGCTGGAGCACCTCCTGTATGGAGACAGGCTGAGAACACTGGGGCTGTTCAGCCTGGAGAAGAGAAGCTGCGTGGAGACCTCAGAGCAGCTTCCAGTGTCTGAAGGGGGCTCCAAGGATGCTGGAGAGGGGATGGAGTGATAGGACAAGGGGTGATGGGTTCAAACTGAAACAGGGGAAGTTTAGATTGGATCTAAGGCAGAAGCTCTTCCCTGTGAGGGTGCTGAGGCGCTGGCACAGGGTGCCCAGAGAAGCTGTGGCTGCCCCATCCCTGGCAGTGTTCAAGGCCAGGTTGGACACAGGGGCTTGGAGCAAGCTGCTCCAGTGGAAGGTGTCCCTGCCTGTGGCAAGGGGTTGGAGCTGGATGAGCTTTAAGTCCCTTCCAACCCAAACCAGTCTGGGATCCTGTTTATATTTTAAAGATACGTAAGTGTGGTCTTCCGGTTTTTCCCTCAAATTCGGAGTGTTTTATTTGATGAGGCTCTTAATCTGAAAGAATAGCTGTAACCAAGCCTCTAAGTAGCAGAAAGCATGGCAAAGATCCTAGAAGGTAGAAACTTGCTTTCTGGTAATGACCATTGACCTGTCTGTGACTTTGAGATGCGCACACATAAATATACAACTTTATTTTTCCCTCGGGCATTCCCTTTCTCCTCTGTCTGCCTCTTTGTGCTTAGGGCAAGGTGCTCATGGCCCTAGGCTTGCACGAATGTTGCCAGGGAAGTATTTTTAGCTGAAAAACTGATGTATCCAAGCTTATAACTTAGATTAATTTAAAAGGAACTTAATGAAGGGTTTGTTGGAGTTGTTTTGCAGGCCAGGAAAAAGCCACTCAACCCTGCAAACAGACCTGTATCTGTTGGGTGTGATATCCAGCTGGGATCTGGGGAGATCTGGGTGTGAAGTTGTGTCCTACCATTATCTTTTTTATTACTACAAGGGAGATCCAGCTGTACAGTGGTGGGTGGCCCTGCACAAGGATGAGGGAATGGGAACTCATCCCTGGAACAGGCAAATCTACAGTGGCCACTCTCTTTCTGACTGATGGTTGGGCAGTCTCTCACACTCCACATTTGAAAGGGTTTTGTCCCAAAGCAGAATAGGCAAAATGCTTTAAATCACTTCTCTTTCTCGCTGAAGAAACAATTTCCTACGAGCTCAAGCCTGAACAATAGAGCCTTGATCTTGATAGGGGGCTGTGGATGTTACTGTAATGCTAATACGTGCCACCGTTGGCCTTTGCGCTTCTGGCACATTTCAGGCACTATATAGGGAGCCTGTAATCAGCTGCAGAAAATTCCCTCCTGTCTCTCTCCTAGCAACCCCTTCTGAACTGATACTGTAAAAGAAGCTTGCTTTCCATATCAGCATCCAAATATTTTCAACACTTGCTGTCACTGAAATTCTCGTTAAGAGCCTTGGGACTAAGATAATTTACCTTCAGGTCCTCGGGACTCCTTTGGTGTTAAGGTAAGGCTTTTGAACTTCTAATTCATTAGAAACCTGACTTGTATCCCAATTTTCCTCTTTTCCCTTGACTTCTACACTGGCTGTATCTGACACCAGGTCAAATTAGCATCCTGAGATGATAAGGAGATAAAAGCAGCAAGGCCAGAAGTCACTGGACTCATCCTGAAAGGGATTTGGCTGTGGTTTTGTTAAACATTTTAGCACTTGTGATGTGTTACAGGCTGGATTTGTAGCTCTGATTTTGACCCCGTATACACACAGTGTAGTTCATGTCCTGCTGTGGAAATAAGACAGACTGCTCATACCAGTATGAACCACTGGATTGCCACTGGAATGGAGAACTTTGAAGTCTAGGGAAGGGAAGTTCGTTGTGCCCTAGGCACAACTGGGTTCCTTAAGTTTTGTGGGTCTCCAAACTGGCAGCTCTTGGATCTGAGACAGTTGATTTACTGCTGTTTGAAACGTGTTTGGAATGGGATTCATTTGGGATTATGGAAAATATTGGAGCTGAGAAAATTGTTGGGTCGGAGCCTGTGTTCTTTACTCAGATACATACCATGAGCTTTGGTGGTAGAGCTTTCTCTGGGATCAGGATTGGAGTCCTCTGAACTTGTCAAGTCCCTTCTGCTGTTCCTCTGTGCTCTTCTCTTGTGTTGTTAGAGAGTCTCCTCTCTGGCTTTGTGGGATGGGGAAAACTTGAGCTCTGCCTCTGGTTCCTGGTCTTCCTGGAGTCCCAAGGGCTTCCTTTTGTGAAGACTTCTTGGAGATGGAAGGAGCTCATAGGGTGTAAATGTTGTTCTTTCTGAATTGCTCCATGTACTTCCCTGACTAGTGCTCTCAATCACTTTGTTAGTGGGATTTTGAGATGCTGGCACATGGAATTCACCTTGTGCCCTGGAAAAAAGGACTTCCCTGGCTACCTCATTTCTGCTAATGCATTTCCAGAGAACTTCCCCTGTGTAGATACAAGAGCTTTATTGCTGAAAGTCACTTTGTTTGTCCTTAATCTCTTGTATCATGTCAGTAAACAATGTGGTCGTTCCCAAACCTCCCATCTGCATCCCAATACATTTCCCTTTTGCCAACTTAACTCATTTACTACTTCATTGGGGTATTTTGTAGGACTTTTAGGCCCTTGCCACAGCAGGGCCAGTAATCAAATATGGCACCACGTTGCTTACTAATAGTCTCCTGAAGTTGGGAACACCAGGAGTGAGCCTGAGTGCAGAAAGCTCTGCTTTAATTTATGGTCAGTGTTAACTTGCAGAGCATTACAGCCTTCAGCTGCTCAGGAGCTGGCTCTGAAAACCAGGCTGAGAGAGCTGGTTTTTATTAAGTAGGACTTGATTTAGTCCTAAGTAAAACCATTTGTATTTAACCTGATCCATGGGGCTGCTGTGTTATCATACTTAGCACTAAACGTTTGTGTAAGAGCCCGTTTCTCAACCTGGAGTAGTTATCCCTTAGATGAGTGTGTACATTTTAACCTCAGTTGAACCTATATTTAAAACCTACTATCGTAGCACTGGCTGACATGATCTGGTGACCAGTGTCCCTTAAGGCCAGGTCTGAAGCACACTGCAATACTTGGTTGTATATATAACACTAAGCTCCTCTCTGCAAACCTGGAGGGATGGAGCTTTTCCCAGAGATGCCTGTTGGCTTTTAGGGAGAGAAATGACTTGCATTTGGGGCATTTAGGCATGGATTTGCCCTTTGTGAGCTGCTCTTGGGTTACTGCTAGGTACTTGCTGCCGTTTCACTATAGGGCAGAGGAGCTTATGCTGAACCAAGACAACTCTTGAGCCAAACCAAACCACTGTAAGCTCTTTTCCCTCCCCATGAGAATGAGGGGAAGAAGGAGGTTGTTGCATCCAAACTCTCTTGGAGCTGGCACTGTGGGAAAACTCCATCCAATCTGGGAGCCATTGTACTTGAGGAACTGTAATAAATCCTGAGGAGCACACACAGAGACTGCTGGGATCGAATTGGCACTTTGGGATACAGAAGCCTCTCCTCTTAGTTTGTGACGCACCTTAAGCAGATTTTATAGATCATCATGTGAGTTCAGGGATAGGCCTGAGCTGAGATTTGCTCCTAGGAGTAGGTCCTGGGCAGTTACATTCTGATGGATCAGGAATATTTAAGTGAGTGAAGGCACGCAGGGTAGAGCTTTGTGGGCAAATCTTGTGACTTGAAAGCAGAAAACCTTTTGCATCAGAGTGAAAAGTCTTGGTTGTTAAAGGGAACCTGCCTTCAGTTCCTCTTAGCCTGAGTGTTTCTGCCAAGCTCACTGCTGTGATGTGAAGGATCTCATGCTTGATATTCTCTGTTCTTGCTCCCTTCCCTCAAACAGAGGCAGTACTGCTGCAGCCTGAAGTTCAGGTGGGAATAAACCTTTGATTTTCTTCCTGCTCTGTGTTTTTTCTGATGCTTCTCTCATAATTCATATTGAGATTATTGATTAAAGGCAATTGCTGTAGGATATTATTCACAATCCATTAACCCTAATTTAGAGCAGAATTCTTCAGCAAGCTCAGGTGCTGAAACATCACCTTTAATTGTCTTAACTGAGCCTTACTTGAAATGAAGATTTCTTGCCTCTCTGTTCATATTCCCTTCTTCCCAAAGCACTGCTGCTTTGATTCTTGCCTTTCAGTGTTGAGAAATACACTTGTTCTTCTCACACTGTGCCTCATAATCTCACCCTTCTGCCACGTCTCCAAAGACACGGAGGTTTTTGGTCTCACAAAGTCAGATTAACATGAGATTGCCATCATTTGCATCGTAGCTGCGGGAGACCATCTGACAGCACCAAAGGCAGCCAAGGAGAATTGAATTCATCAGCTCTTGCGTTTGTCAGAGCACAGTTCTGCTCCTCTCATCGGGGCAGGAGAGGAAAGGTTTCATGTGAGTGGTTTGTGCTTTGTGGCTCAGCTCCTGAGCACTGGAGAGAGGTCTGAGACCTCACCTCCAAGCCTTGCCTCTTGGGTTGGTTCATGTCTGTGTGTGGTGAGGCTTTGGGGCTAGTTCTAGACTTTTAGCTCCTTTCCACAGTCCAAATATGTGTCAGGTATGCCTCTGACAGTGGCTCATTGTCCTCTTAAATCAGAGTTTAAGCTAAGTAGATGGAAAACACTGAGCAGCTTGACAGGGAAGGGAGAAATCATCTCAAGATTGCTCAGCACAGGGGGATGTATTATTTATCCTTAGAACAGGCTTTCACTAATGTCATTGTGGTGATGTGGTCACTTGCATGTGTCAAGATGCTTAAACTGCACATTGTAGCATAATCTGAAGATTTGGGTTGAAACTCTTTGGTTTGACAGGCTTCTAGTTACCCATATCTGAGTAAATGGGTTTTATTTCCCAGCCAGAATGTTTTCCTTTACTTAATACATCAGTATTGAGAGCAAGCACGAAGTCACAATCTTAGGAGGACTCAATGAATTTGTTGTGAAGTTTTATGGACCACAAGGAAGTAAGTATATGACCCAGCCCTTCTGTAAAAACAAGCTAATGGTGGGGAACACTGAAATGACACATTCCTTTGGAGTGGAAGAAGTGATGAGCAAATCTAAATGGGGCTGAGAAATCAAAGGGTAGCAGTGTTGGAAGGCTATTCAAGGGCGGGGAGAAACAACAACTGTGAGTAGTAATGCAGATGAACCACCTCCCTTGGAGCTGAGCAGAGCCTTTGGACAGCTAAGCCCTCTGCTATGGCCTTCAGCATTGTGCCATTGATTCTTAGCTTTTCTAGACCTGGCTCATAAATTTTGCATCAGTCATCTGAATTTTTGGTGGAGCTTGTAATACAAATGGCTTTTCTAATGCCAAGCTCACAAGTCAGGTCACCAGCGTGCCCTAATATAGTAACATCTCTAAAAGTAAGTAGATTATTCCAAAGTCTGTGTTTTGAAGAAGCTCTTGTGCCTTTGTGCTGAGATCTGCTGCAGTATCAGTTAAAATCATGGATTTCCTGTCAGGCAGCACAGGAAAAGGCTTTTACCGTAGGAGGTTTGATACAAATCTTACCCCCTGATGGAGCCAAGTATTCATCCAAAGCTGTGTTTTGCTTCATGTTGCAGTTCTGTTTCTTCTCTATGAAGTGTCTGACACATGCATTTCTTTCTTTGCAGCACCATATGAAGGTGGAGTGTGGAAAGTTAGAGTCGACCTTCCTGATAAATACCCTTTTAAATCGCCGTCTATAGGTAACTAATAACCACTTCTACTCAAAATCATATTGCTGTTTGTGCAGGAGAGACCATTGCTTGCAGCACTGTTGCAGATGAAGTTGTACCAACCCTCGGTGCAAGCGGAAGATCTTTACTTTAGGTCTGCAGAATGCTGTATCATAGATAGCCAGATACCACATGCTAAGCAGAGAGGAAGTTGGGTCTTTTGGCTGAACGGTTAGGAGCTGGAAATGGGATTTGATCACACATTTATGTGTGGATGAACTGAGTCTCTCACCATGTGTGGTTTTAATTATAGCTTCATTCATGGGAAAGGTGCAGTGAGTGGTTGGAGCCTGTTTATGTAAAAAGACTCTGTTAGTATGGAGAGCAAAGACCTTGGTGCATGTTCATGGTCTTGGGGTGAACCTAGCTTTTGGGATGTCCAGAAGTGGATGGAAGTGAACCGTCTGTTCTCTTGGACTGGGTGATGCATAAGTAGAAGAACATGAAGCAGGGACCTGTCACCAGAAATATGGCAACTGGCTGGACTGGTCAGCCTTGTTTCACCTCTGAGTTTGATAAGGAAATGTTCTTTAGCGTTTATCCATGCTGCCTTTGTCCTTGGGTAATGGTGCTCAGATGTCTTCGGTAGACAGCTTTAATTGCAATCACTTAAGCTCTAAATAAAATAGCCAACAGTGCTTGAAAAACTAGAGCAGATGCATGAAGTTCCAACATCTCTATTCTGGCTTATGAAATAAGTGCTGGTAACTCAGTGACATGGCACTTCTCCATCAGAAGGGTGTGCTTGTGGTTCAAGCCACAGAGGACTGGAAAGAATGGAGAAGACTGCCTGAGGAGAAATGATGTGGAAACTTGACTATATGGGTTGGACAAGATGGGTCCCGTCCAATATCAACATCCTGATTTGGAGTTGATAAGTATTAGCTGCTTTCTTAAAATAGACTCTTCCACTAAGAGTGCCTTCTCTTTAAGCTCTCTGGCGTGAAAAATAATCTGGCTGTTTCCAAATGTGAACTGTGCCTTTTTGGAAAGAGCAACACTGGGTTTACACCATCCTTTACCTTTGTTTACTGCTGAGACTTTAACTGAACCACAGAGACATGCACACAGCTGAGTAACAACACAGTGGTGCTGTAGCAATGTGAACCCTTTTGTCCTTCCTCTTTCACAGTCAGCTGTGAAATTTGCTACAGACCTCTTGGGTTAGAGACTGCTTCTGAGATCCACAGCGTGTTATTTGGTGCCAGTCATTTCCCTGCTGCACATCAGGGTACTGTCATATTGGCAATCTGAAATGTGGGCTGGCTACAGACAAACTCACCATTTAAACCCAGTTTCTTGCCGTTCATTGCTTTGGTACTGGTCTCCTCAAGATGTATTTTTCTCTCTCCTGATGTTCTGTCTGTGCATATCAGAAATGAGGGTTGCTGCCTTAAAGCGAAACCAAACCTTCTTTCCAGTAGCCTGTGAAGGCATTCAGCTGAACATTGGCCAGGCTCTTGTAACTTCATTGTGCTGTTGATTTAGGCTCTGATTAGCTGCATGGAAGGTGGTAGCTTTGACCTTTGGGTGGTTTGGCTTGGAGGCTGTTTCGTGCTGGTTGGGAGTAAACTGGGATCAGAGTGAACCCAGCTGCGCTTTCAGAACGACACCACAAGATTGGCCTTTCTCCTTGTGAGCTCTGGGTGGGGTGGGTGTGCAGGGAGTTGTTTTCTGCTTAAATCATCACAGAATCACAGCCTAGTTTGGGTCAGGAGGGACCTTAAAGCTCATCCAGTCCCAAGCCCCTTCCATGGGCAGGGACACCTTCCACTAGAGCAGCTTGCTCCAAGCCCCTGTGTCCAACCTGGCCTTGAACACTGCCAGGGATGGGGCAGCCACAGCTTCTCTGGGCACCCTGTGCCAGCGCCTCAGCACCCTCACAGGGAAGAGCTCCTGCCTAAGAGCTCATCTTAGTCTCCCCTCTGGCAGGTTAAAGCCATTCCCCCTTTTCACTGCATTGCTCTGTCCCTTTTAATGTTGCTTTTCTCTTCTATTCAGTACAGCAGTTTTCTGTTATATCCACTATGTGGCAACTGTTTTATTCTGGACTCAGCAGACCTTTTTGCATGCTTCCCTCTCCCTGGGAGTCTATTTCAGTGGCTGGAGACCACCTCTTTTCTTGCTAAGCTGCCCAAATGCTGGCTCTTGCTCTGGGGCTTTGTGTTGCTCTGTGCTGGGCAAGGGCTGCTGGAAGTGCAGGTTCCCTCCCAAGTGAAGCAGTGTGCAGCTGAGGTTTCAGGTTGAATAAACAGTTGATGCTAGACAAGAGCTGGCTTAGCAAAGCAGGGCTCAACTCTGCTGTGAGGAGGAAGGAGTGGAAGTGCCAAGGAGAGAGCTGGGACCTGTGGGAGCTCCCAGCCAGCTGCAGGAAGAGGTTTGTTTTGCTTTGTCTGGTTCCCATCTCTGCTGCCCCAGCCCAGCTTATCTGGAGGGGCCAGGGCTGAGTGATGTCTCAACCCCTTCCTTTGGGACAGCCTGATCTCCACACCACTGCTCTGGGGGCAGGCTCAGTGTGCAGTGCCTGATACTGCTGGATTTGGCATTATAGATAGCTCCAGAGCAAGGTTTCATCCTAGCTGCACTGGGAGCATTCACAAGCTTGTAAATGACATGTGATCCTCTCCTAGATCTGCCTGTTCCAATGAAAAAGGGTGTCCTAACCTAGCAGGAGTTGGGACTGAGCTCTGGATAACGCAGGGGTAGGAACTGGTAGGGAAGAAACTTGCTGTGACAATCTCTGATGTGAAGGAGGTAGAAGTGAAGGATTTCAGAGGTGGTAGAGCTTGTAAAGGGACAGAAGGTCATGTAAAGCACGCATGGAGCTTGTTTGCAAGCCTTGTCTTCTCACCACCAGATAGCTCCCACTGTGGTGATGACATGCAGAGTTCACATTGTAGAAGTCACTCACTAGCTTGTATAAAGTACAGAATGCAGCAGATTCTTTTCCTTTAATAAATTACACTTTTATGCTGAAGCTTAAAGCAGAAGTGATGTCCTTGCAGCTTTCCTTGTTCCTTTTACTATAGGCTAACATTTTCTTTCCATCCTAATGCAGTCTTGAGCATGGCATGGGCTTTTTGCAACAAAGAACGTGATGCTTTGAAGCATATCCATCAGTTCTAGAGAGCTGCTTCTGACAAATAACTGCTAATAGTTGCTTCCTAGTCTGTTCAAATTGCCTCTATCCCACCATAAGTATAAGGTACATGAAAACTTGGTGTTCTGTTCTAAGTGTGACTGACAAACCTGAATAGAAAAGGGTTTTAAATTGGGCTTCAGATTTCTCATCTGGAGAGGTGAGGCCCTATTCTTAAACCCTAAATGAGTGGTGGTCTTCTTCACTATTGAGGGTCTTCAGCAGAAGCCTTTGCTCAGTGTGGTGGCTCTTCTGCCATATCTTAGCTCCCTTTCCCCATCCATAGCTCCCTTCTCAGCTATGTGTGGCATTCACTTCCTGCCCTGCTCAGGTTGGTAGTTATTGCTGTAGTCTGTTAAATGATGCTGCTCCAGCGACAGCATTTTCCTGGCAGTGTGGGTAAATGTCTCTGCTTAAAGACCTAAATCAATCCTGGAATCTGTGAAAAGAGCCATTCCTGGGAGAGCTTCCGGTGTGTCAGCATGTCCTGCAGTATCTCTCTGGTGTTTCTGGCACTGCCTGTTCCTTGCTTGCTCTTCGCTGTGTAATCTGACATCCCATATTGGAGCAGGGTGACTTTTTGCCTAACAAAATCTATACAACATAGAGGAAAAAGGGAAACGTGCATCCTGGAAGAACACAGACCTAACTAGAGCCAGATGTGGGGCTGTTCTTGGCTCTGGGCTCGAGTGCTCCTGTTGAGATGAACTAACTCCACTCATCATCCCTAAATAGCCACATCTTCAGGTTGGAAACAAACCTGAACTTGAGCTCTGTGGTAAAACAAACCCAATTCCTGAAGCCAGGGAATGCTGCTGTTCCTGAACCTTTCATCAATGTAAAGATCCCTGTGTGCTTATGAGGACCTCAAGCACTCCCCTGCTAGATGTTTGGTTCCATTTCTGCTATCACCCAGGCAACGTGTTTTGAGCTGTTGATGATTTCAGTAACCCTCTTGGCACAGCTCCGCTGCTTTTCCCTTCCCTCTGGGACTGAGTATCTTAAGGAGAACTTTCTGCTTAGTCTTTTCCTGCTTTTCCAAAGGGGAGTTGTGAAGTACTTCAAGTCCTGTTCGGAGCTCCCAGGTCATGAGAAGACTTTATGTAACTCTTGTATGTTTTTAATCAGTCCATACTCCTGCCAAGAGCTGGAGATTAACGCTCTTTGATGCCATAAACATGGAAAGAAGCACAGTGGGAATGTCCTGCTCTGCTCAGATGATAAGAGCAGTAGTAACATATGAACCTGGGAGCCTGGGCTCTTACCTGGCAGCATGGTGGCATTTATTTTATTGCTCAAATCTGCAGGAATATTAGGCCAACACTTGCTCCTTAACAATCAAATGTCAGAGCTTGTGTACAATATGCTCAGAGCCTCCATTTCTCAAATCACTTCTGTATATTTATACACAGCTCTCATTTTCCTTCCACCTCTGGCCCAGTTATCTGCAGGTAGCTTGCATTTAGATTTCACCTTTCTCAAAGAGTTTTGCTAAACAAAATGGTCAGTATAAGCACAAAACACATGGAAGTATGTGTGGATATATACATCTATCACAAGACACTGTGGCAGCCAGTACAGGAATGAAGAGGTGTTTAGCTCCAGCCAGGATTTAACAGATCTCTCCTGGCCTGTGCTTTTGAACTGCAGCTGCTATTTTTATTCCAGCTCCTCTCTGGATTGCCTTACATTTTGCTGTGTAGAATTTCATGAGTCACTTATTGCCTGTGACCATTCTGAGCTTGCTCTTCCCTCTGTGTGTTGCCCCTTAGTCTGACCTATAAGTGATGGGAAAACGCTGTTGCTTTCAAAGGTGCTTTGGCTTTGTCTG